TTTTATTTTTTGTAGGTACAAATAATTCTTTTTTTAAATTTATTTTATTTTTTAAATTTTTTCTAATTTCTTTTATTTATGTTTTTATTAATGAATTTATTTATTTTTGTTATAGATGTATCTACTTTCCCCCCAATTGATTCCCCCATCCTCCTCCCTCCCTGCCCTGTCCCCAGCTTTGTTGTCCACGTCCATTGTTCATGCACACATGCATATAAGTTCTGTGGTTTATCTCTCCCCCACCACCCCCTCTTCTGGGGATTGTCAGTCTGTACCCCACTTCCACGTCTCTGAGACTACCCAATTCCTCAGACTGTTATGTTCATTATGTTCCACAAATAAGTAAGATCATATGATACTTGTCTTTCTCTGTTTGGCTTGTTTCACTTAGGATGACACTTTCCAGGTCCCTCCATGTCGTCTCAAAGGATAAGAGATCTTTCTTTCTAACAGCTGCATAGTACTCCTTTGTGTATATGTACCACAGCTTTTTTATCCATTCGTCAACTGATGGGCATTTGGGCTGTTTCCAGATCTTAGCTATTGTAAATAGTGCTGCTACAAACATGGGGGTACATATATTCTTTCTGATTGGTGTTTCAGGCTTCTTAGGGTATATTCCAAGAAGTAGGATCACTGGGTCAATGGAAGTTCAATTTTTAATTTTTTGAGGTAACAGCATATTGCTTTTAATAGTGGTTGCACCAGTCTGCATTCCCACCAGCAGTGTACTAGAGTCCCCTTTTCTCCACACCCTCGCCAACACTTGTTGTTTGATGATTTGTTGATGGCGGCCATTCTGACAGGTGTGAGGTGATACCTCATTGTTGTTTCAATTTGCGTCTCTCTGATGATTAGTGATGTTGAGCATTTCTTCATATGTCTCTTAGCCATTTGTATGTACTGTTTGGAGAGGTGTCTATTTAGTCCCTCTGCCCATTTTTTAATTGGGTTTTTTGACTTCCTTTTGTTGAGTTGTATGCGCACTCTATATTTATTGGAAATTAACCCCTTATCTGATATATCATTGGCAATTATGCTCTCCCATACAGTTGTTTTGATGATTGTATCTTTCACTGTGCAGAAGCTTTTTAGTTTGATGTAGTCCCATGTTTTCATTTTCTCCTTCCTTTCTGTTGCTTTAGGTGACGTATCAGTGAAAATTCTGCTGCGTAAGATGTCTGAAATTTTGTTGCCTACAGTTTCTTCTAGGATTTTTATGGATTCATGAGTCACATTTAAGTCTTTTGTCCATTTTGAGTTTATTCTTGTGTATGGTGTAATTTGATGGTCTAGTTTCATTTTTTTTTGCATGTAGCTGTCCAATTTTCCCAACACCATTTATTAAAGAGGCTGTCTTTACTCCACTGTATGCTCTTTGCCACCTTTGTCAAATATTAATTGAGCATATTGCCTTGGGTCCATTTCTGGGTTCTCTGTTCTGTTCCACTGGTCAATACGCCTGTTCTTGTGCCAGTACCAGGCTCTTTTGATGATAGTGGCTTTGTAGTATAACCTGAAATCTGGTAATGTGATCCCTCCTACTTTGTTCTTCTTTTTCAAGATTGCTGTGTCTATTCAAGATCTTTTTGGTTCCATATGAACTTTTGAAGTATTTATTCTAATTCTGTGAATTATGTCGTTGGTATTTTGATGGGGATTGTGTTGAATCTATAGATTGCTTTGGGTAGTATGGACATTTTAATGATGTTAATTCTTCCAATCCATGAACAAGGTATGTGCTTCCACTTTTTTATATCTTTCTCTATTTTTTTTTTTTTCAATAACCTGTAGTTTTCTGGGAATAGGTCCTTTATTTCTTTGGTTAAGTTTATTTCTAGGTATCTTAATTTTTTTGCCACAATGATAAATGGGATTGTTTTCATAGTTTCTCTTTCTGTTACTTCATCATTGGTGTATAAGTATGCCATAGATTTCTTGATGTTAATTTTGTATCCGGCTACTTTGCCAAATTCATTTATTAAGTGTAGTAAATTTTTGATGGAGTCTTTGGGGTTTGCTCCGTATAGTATCATGTTGTCTGTGAATAATGACAGTTTCACTTCCTCCTTTCCAATTTGGATATCTTTTATTTTTTCTTGCTGTCTTCTTGCTGTGGCTAAGACTTCCAGTACTATGTTAAATAAGAGTGGCTAAAGTGGGCATCCTTGTCTTGTTTCTGTTCTTAAGGAAAATGCTTTTAGTTTTCGCCCACTGAGTATGATGTTGGCTGTAGGTCTTTCATATATGGCCTTTATTATGTCGAGATATGATCCCTCTATTTCCACATTGCTGAGCATTTTTATCATAAATTGATGCTGGATTTTATTGAAGGCTTTTTTGGCATCTATTGATATGATCATGTGGTTTTTATTCTTCATTTTATTTATGTGGTGTATCACATTTATTGATTTGCGAATATTGTACCAGCCTTGCATCGCTGGGATGAATCCCACTTGGACATGGTGAATAATTTTTTTGATGTATTGCTGGATTCGATTTGCTAGTACTTTGGTTCATCAGGGATATTGGTCTGTAGTTTTCTTTCTTTGTAGTGTCTTTTTTTTTTTGGTTTTGGAATTAGAATTATGCTGGCCTCATAAAACGAGTTTGGAAGTCATCCTTCTTCTTGAATCTTTTGAAATAGTTTGCGGAGAATGGGTGTTAGTTCTTTTTTTTTTTTTTTTGTTATCCTCATCCGAGGATATTTTTCCATTTTTTGTACAGATAGAGTGGGAAGGAGAGAGAGGAAGGGAGAGAGAGAGAGAAACATCGATGTGAAGGGACACATCAAGTGGCTGCCACCCGCACGACCAACCAGGGTCGGGGACAAACTGCAACCTAAGTACGTGCCCTTAGCGGGAACCGAACCCGGGTCTCTCCGGACTGCAGGCCGACACTCTAACCGCTGAGCCAAACTGGCCAGGGCAGTTCTTTTTTGAATGTTCGGTAGAACTCCCTCGTGAAGCTGTCCGGGCCTGGGCTTTTGTTTGCTGGGAGAGTCTTGATTACATCTTCAATTTTCTTAGTTGTTATTGGTCTGTTAAAATTTTCTATCTCTTCCCAGTCCAGTTTTGGGAGACTATGTGTTTCTAGAAATTTGTCCATTTTTCTTAGATTGTCAAATTTGTTGCCATATAATTGTTCATAGTAGTTGTTAACAATCTTTTGTATTTCTGTGGTATCAGTTGTTACTTCTCCTCTTTCATTTCTGATTTTGTGTATTTGGGTTCTCTGTTTCTTGGTGAGTGTAGCTAAGGGTCCATCAATCTTGTTTATCTTTTTTAAAAACCAGCTCTTTGTTTCATTGATGCTTTGAATTTTTTGTTTGTTTGATTTATTTTTGGACTCTGTGTCATTTATTTCTGCTCTGATCTTTACTTTATAACGTATTCTTTAAAATAATAATTATTTATTGTATTACTTAATATCTAAGAATTACTTATTATAGTACCTAGTGTCTAGACATATGTACTTTTAAAAATTACTTCATTGTTCATTTTTTACTTCATTGCTTGATGGAGAAATAGTGTACACATTGTTGATATTTTGAATATTTATTTAGATTTTTTGAAGGTACAATGTCTTAAGCTAATGTCATACATTTAGAAAGTAAAAAAAAAAAAGAAAGAAATACCCAATGGATTTATTAATTCAGTCAATTAATCTTTGTATATCACTTATGATCTGACATTATCTCAATTCCTCTGATTTAAAAAAATACACAAAAACTTTTACTTCATGAAAGGTAGACTTTAGTATCCATTTATGATCAGTAATATTAATTACATGAAATTCCAATTAGGTTCCTGTTAATGTTCTGGGTTTTATGCTCCCAATTTTAGCTTTAAAATACAAACATTCTTCAGAAGAATAAGTCAGTGAATCATTAATAACCTCCAGGAGAATTCATTTAGCTTTAAAATACAAACATTCTTTAGAAGGATAAGTCAGTGAATCATTAATAACCTCCAGGAGTCATCTATTAAGTAATTACATTCAAATTTGAGTGTTTGTGAATATTGTCCATAAATCTCTGTGTCAGAGCTCTTTCTATATAAGAAAATCTCTCCTTATTCTACAGACCTGACTTTGTAGTTAATAAATTCTATTATTTGCTTAGTGGCCCTGTTGTCAATATTTAACAATGTTTCTGTACTTTTTAACATCAATACTGAGGAAATGCTTTCTCTGAATATTGACAATAAGCACATGTAGGACTCATAGCCTATGATATTTTCCATGCAACCTTACATAGAAGCAGGAGTGGATGAGATAATAGAAGGAAAAGAACAATAAAATAAATGCATGGTTGGCTAACTGGTGCAGTGGAGAACTAACTACTGTGTAAGTATGGAAGCACTCATTGCTCTGGCCTCCACCTCATCGTTTAGTGCTTGGTTGATTCTTCTAAGGATGATGATAATTGATGGGACAATGCCAAGAGTAATATGTACAATATAAAGTTTCCTGAATGTAGGTGAGGATTACAGCACCCTATATTTACATGGATGGCAATAGTAAGATTTGAGAAACTTGCTGTGGCTCTGAGAGCCAAGGTTAGCAGTCCTAGCACTCCATGGGATGGATGCAGGTGAGCTGATGATCCCACCTGTGCTTGCTGGATAAGCCATAACATCCTATTTTTAGGTTGTTAGGCCCCTTTTACTTTCTTAGGCCCTTCCATGTCTTCTGGAGACTCAGGAGATTTGCATGTCTGATCATAATAAATTTTAAGTCTGGAACTTTTCTGATTATTAAACACAAGACTGAGAGAAGCAAATGTCAGACTGTAGGCATTTCATTCCACTGTAAGTCTGGCCTCTGTGTATTATTTCTGAATTGAATTTTATATCTGTGATTGCATGTCAAATCTGAAAGAAACATAAGTTTGGGGAAAAAATGGAAGGCTTTTGCTTAATGATAGTGAAAATAGAAAAGGTGGTCAAAGCATTTGGAGAGAGGTAACAATCTCTTTTTTCCTATGTATTTCCATTTAGTTGCCTGAGAGACAATCAAAGAAGCTCCAGAAGGTAAACCAAGAAGTGGAAAGGAAGCAGTAAGAACACAGTACATCAGAGTGATGTCTCTGAAATTTACTTCCCAAATTTCTGTCCAATGAGAGTGAACATCTTAGACCTTTTAGAACCACAGTGATAGAGTTCTTTGGTGATTTCCTTTAAGACTTGACAGAAGTTAGATGGTGACTCTACCTAAATAAGAGATATGGGGTATTAGCACACATGCTTTGTCTTTTAATGGTTATATAAAGTAAATGTACAAATGTACAGCTGAAATAAAGAAAGTTGGTTTTCATCCAGCTGTTTGCAATGGCCACACTTAGCCAGAATAACATTTGGAAAATATAAGTGTAATCTTACCTTTCCCTAACACACTTTGATGGTTCTGTGTTGCATCCAGAATAAAGTTTAAACTCTTTATCAGGGACCCCAGTCCTATAAAGATCAAGCCCTGTGTCCTCTCCAGTCTCATGACCTACCCTGTAAGCTCACACATTTTCTCCCAGGCTTTCTGCTTTTATTTCATGTTCTTCAAGCCACTAAACCTGCCTCAACTCAGGGCCTCAATGCACAGTTTTCATTTTCTGTACTTGTGCTTGCTAGTATCTCTTCCTGGAGATGCTGGCTCTTACACTCTCCTTTGAAAGACCTCCCTGACTACACCCTGTAGGAATTTCTCTTCTATACCTCATGGATTTCCTGCACTGTTCTCTACTTACATTTGTCACTGCCTTTCTCTCAACTTATAACCCTCTGTTTGTTAGTTTACCATTTCCCTTTTCCCATCTCCCTCTGTGGACCACATATTCTGCAAGGCACTAAGAATTCCTTGACTTGCTAGTGCCTATCTGTTGACCAATCCTTACAAGACACTGAATAGAAACAAACAAACAAACAAACAAAAAAAACAGTGGAAAATGACAGATATCTAGACATTGATATTTTGCCCAGCTTAGATGGACAGAAACACCCTGCCTTGTGGTTAATCATGGGTTTTCATATGTTTGTACTCAGCCTCTTTTCTTCATTTCATCTCAAGGTCTGGGTTTCTGTCTCTGAGATGGTCCCTTCTTCTTTTAAAGTGTGAAAGGATGGGGGCGTGAGGGGGAAGTCCAGGTATTTGTTGGTGATGCGAAATGATGTTTGCAGGAATCAATCATTTCCTAAGTGTTTCACTTACACTTTCTCTGCACAAAGGAAAAGGTAGAAAACAGTGTCTCTGTTGCAACTCTTTGCAGCCCCCCTTTGCAGTTTGTAGTTGGAGAGTAGATGTAAATATCTGGTAATGTTATTGAACCAAGGTTCTACTCTTATGCTTCCACAAATCTGTTCTGCATGGAGTCAAGTAATTTAAACTATGCTCTTGCTTCCTCACATCTAAAATGAAATCTTCTCTAGCTGTTATTCTCTCATTCTTCCCTTTTAAGGAACTAAAGTGTCAACATTTTCAAATACAAGCAAATCTTTATTGTAAACAGACAATAACTAAATGAAGAAAAATTAGATATGTCTAAGGTGTCCCCATGCAAGCAAATATTATGAGAGGGACTCATAGAATTTTAACCAGTCAGCTTGGAGAGTAAGATCTCAACCACTGAGTATCCCAATCAATTTCAGTCAATTATATGTATAACTTATATGGGCTAGAAATGATTCAGTTTTGTTTCTGGATGATGCTCTTTGAGTAAAGTTACATTATCTACATGTTTCTGAGTCAATTTTGGTTATCTTAATTTTTACTAGAATATCATTTATTTAATTCATGACTTCAAAAATTTATAAAAATAATAATATGAGCTCTTTCAAGTCATTTAACTTTTTAAAATTTAGGTTTATAGAGGTAAAATACAGTAAAATTCACCCTTATTGGTAAGTCATTTGATAAGTTTAGACATATATAATCATGTAACCATCACCTCAATAAAGATATAGAATATTTTAATTATCTCTCCCCTCACCAACACCACCTTACAACCACTGATATGATTTCTGTTGTGCTTTTTTTTTTCAGGATGTCACAGTATTGTTGCTTTTATCTTATTGGATCTTCTCTCTTTTTTTTATGTTTTTATTGATTTTTCAGAGAGAGAGAGGAAGGGAGAAAGACATAGAAACATCAATGAGAGAGATACAAAGATTGGCTGCCTCCTCTATGCCCCCCACTGGAGATTAAGCCTGCAACCCAGGCATATGCCCTGACTGGAAATAGAACTGGGAACTTCCAGTCTGTGGGACAACGCTCAATCCACTAAGCCACACCTGTTAGGCTCTTTATTGGATTTTTATTTTTCTTACCTTAGATTTTGAAATTGTTGCTATTCTAATTGTTTTGAATTCAAAACTTAATTTTTATGTTTTCAATTTTTCTTGTTTAGTAATTGAGACATGTAAGAATGTAAAACTTTATTTATACCCCACATTTTGTTGAAAGAAATGCTGTTATTATCTAATATTTTGTTACTTGCTTTTTATTTCTTCTTGGATCCGAAATTCTTTTAATTTCAAGCATTGCTTTACATTTTTAATGTTAATTTCCAGTTTTATTGCCTTATTATCAATATCTGTGTTATTTATGCTTTGTGGATTTTATCAAAGTTCTTTATTGTATAATATGTATCAACTTTGACAAAATTTACTTATATCCTTTAAATTTGGGTTCTTTATATAGATAATAGTCTTATAATTTATAAATTCTAAAACTTTAGGTCCTTCCTCTAAGCCACCCATTTCTTGTTGGGGCAGCGCAATAGCAATGAGCAACTGGGGCAACCAGGCCTCATAGCGGCAGCAGTGTCATAGCCAACACATCTTCCTGGTCTTCTGCCTGCACCACACAGGGTTTTATAAAACCACATTTAAAAAAGCATGATGTAGTTTTATGAGTGAACATATTTATTGTCCTTATTCCTTCAGTAGTTATTACAGTACTTTTCCTCCTCTTATGGCTTTTCATGAAAGAAACATTGTATAATAAAGTCCTTGCATAACAGAAAAGGGAACAAAAGTTAAGTCCTACCAAAACAAATAAATTGAAGGCAGAAAAGAAAAGGATAAAAAGAAAGAAATCCAGAATGTAAACCTCCATGAATCTGATTCTGAGAGTGTCCTGCAGGACTTTAAGTAATCTGATGCCTTGGCTGTAGAAAGATGAGCAAGTTGTACTATTTCACTGAAGGTGGTTAAAACTTCAAGTAGTGTTAGAGAAAGAAAAATAAACAATAGAAAATAAACAAAAGAAACAATAGCCTGTACTGGAAGAGTAGGTCACCAAAAAGAGTGATGTATCAAAGATTCCAGACAAAAAAATAAAAATAAAACCTGTCCCAGTTACTAAATAGCACCCTCTCACCCAATGCCTCTGAAGCAGCTACATTGTAGAAGAAACCAGGGCAGAAGAAGTCTAAAAATGGAAGTGATGATCAGGTTTAAAAGGTGGAAACTTATGGCACCTTCAAAAAAGCAAGAATTACTACTCCTCCGCCAAGAGACTAAACAAGACAGTAGATCAGAAAAGAAGAAAATTTCGTCAAAGAAGCAGAAGACAGAAAATGTCTTGGCAAATGGACCCCTATTCTTGCAACTACTCATATTCTTTTAGTGGATAATACAGACTCAAGTCCTGTGATGAATAAGAGAGAGGTTATTGATTTGATTAAATCTGACCGAGTAGAAGGGCTCCAGAAAATGGGAGCTAAAAAAACTGAAGACTGAAACTGACCAAGAAAATGCTGATGTGAAATTTAAAGATTTTCTTCTGTCCTTGAAGACAATATTTTCTGAAGATGATGTTGTAGACCTGCTAAAACAGAAGTCTGGTGTGATACAAGATGCTTTAAAGAAGTCAAGTAAAGAATAATTGACTGCACTTGTACATCAGCTTCAAGTAAAAGATAAATTACTTGCTGCTATGAAGGATCAATGCAAGCAGTTAACCCAGGAAATGATGATGACAGAGGAAAAAAAATGAAAGAAGCAATGTGGCTGTAGCAAGGATGAAAGACCAGATTGGAACATTAGAAAAGGAACACAATGTATTTTAAAACAAAATGCATGTCAGTTATCAAGAAACTCAACAGATGCAAATGAAGTTCCAACAAGTTTGTGATCCAATGGAAGCAGAAATAGCTCACTTGCAGCAGGAAAATGGCATACCAAGAGATGCTCTCAGGACCACTACAAACCAACTAGAAAGCAGGCAGTCTAATCAACTAAATAAACTGCCAGGATTACGCCAGATTGCTGAAAGAGCTGACTGAGAAAACAGGAAGGCTGCAGCAAGAGGAAATCCAAAAGAAGAATGCTGAGCAAGAGTTACTCACTTGAAGGTTCAACTACAAGAAACTGAGAGAAGGTGGGAAGAAGTCCCAAGTTGTATCAGATAGAGAACAGCAGAGCATGAGGCAGCAAAGCAAGATTTACAGAGTAAATTTGTAGCCAAAGAAAATGAAGTATAGAGTCTGCATAGTAAGTTTACAGATACCTTAGTATCAAAACAATTGGAGCAAAGACTAATGCAGTTAATGGAATCAGAGCAAAAAAGGATGAACAAAGCAGAGTCTACAAATGTAAGTTCAGGATATTTTGGAAGAGATATTTTGGAAGCAATTGTTCCATTACCAGGTAACAGCCCAGACCTCTGTTTTAGCTTTAGCAGAGGAATTACATAAAATGATTGCAGAAAAGGATAAGATTAAAACAGATTGATGATTCTTTAGCGAATGAACATGATCATTTAACAAGAGGAGGAACAGCCTGCTGGTGCATCTCAGTGGATTGTGCATCATCCCATGGACTGAGAGGTCCTGGTTCGATTCCCTGTCAGGGCACATGTCCAAGTTGCGGGCTTGATTCCCAGTGGTAGGGGTGTGCAAGAGGTGGCTGATTGATCTTTCTCACATTGGTGTTTCCATCTCTCTCTCTCCCTTCTTCTCTCTCTAAAAAATCAATAAAAAACATATTTTAAAAAAGAGAAGGAAATTAAGGATATACAGAGTATGAATTTCTTATTAAAA